CATTGCTAGGAGGTGTGCTAACATTGCTAGGAGGTGTGCTAACATTGCTAGGAGGTGTGCTAACTTGCTGGCACAGAGCATTGCTAGGAGGTGTGTTAATATACTGGCAGAGCGACTGACCCCATGCAGGGGGCTTTGAGGGTGCTTCAGCTGTGGCCGTTTTACTCAGGATTGCTGTGTTACTGTTCAATGTGTGATTTGGTTGAACGTGTCCAAAAGTTGTTTCTGTAGGGGTTCGTTCTGGCATCCTTCTGGAAGTTTGGCCTTAGAAATGGTTTTTCTGGAGTGAGGTGGGTTTCTGAAAGCTGTCAGTCAAATTATTTCTAGGTGCCATTGGTCCTAAACCAGTTTCGCTTTGTGTACCGAATTTTGTCCTTTACAATGCTCAGTGTAAGGCACCAGATACCTTCTGTACAAATTCCAGCTACAAATACTGGCTTTTTCCTAGCCTGGAAGTTTGCTCTGTTGAAACTCCGAGCTCCGCCTGCCCTTCAAACAGCTTGAGGCCTTTTTTCTTTCTCAATATTCCCTTCACATCTTGTCCTCTTCTAATATTCTCCCAGTTTTGTGAGTTGAGGGTTTCGGACCTTCCTCCGAGCACTTTTATAACCTAGGAACCCAAAGCTCTGCTGCCGTACCTTGCAGTTATCCATTCCATTTCCAGAGCTGCCGTCCAAACGGCCGTCCCTGTCCCTTCAGTGCTGTGGAGTTCTGCTGCTGATGGCTTGATTGAATCTGGTGGAAAAAATCCATAGGGATGTGAAAGGGAAGGATCCCAGTCTCTCCTTTCCCTACCCAAAGATGGTACTTTACATTGGTATTGAGTGTTAGGAGGCTCATCTTGTTTTGGCACGCGTTTCAGTAAGACATCACCTAGCTAATTGACTCGTTGTGACCTGGAACTGTAGAGGTTAGAGCTTGAGCTAATTGCTGCTTGCTGCTAGCAAGAAGTTGTGTGTTTTTCAGTAGCTGAGTTACAAACGGATTGGGGTCCTGAGCCCCAAGAAGCCTCATCTCTGTAACACTAGAACAACAACGTTTGTCCCTCAGCAGGCAGTGTGTGCAGAAGGGCAGGGGCTGCAGGGGAGGACATCGAAGCCTCGGTACTGCAGAAATGTGTCCTGCCTGCCCTGGCCTTTCTGGCTCTGTCTGAGGTCCCCCCTCACCTAACACGGGTAGTTACCGTAGGGTCCTTCAACAACAAAGTGGTTCTGTTTAAAATTTGGAGTGAATATTTTATTTTTGAGCAAGACAGTCCTCAGAAAGTGCCTTTGTAGAAGACGGTGCTGTAGATTTTATTTTCCAGTTGTACGTGGCTGAACATTTAAGATAAATAACTGTAAATGCCAAGTGTCTGATGGTACCTATAGGTACTTTCAGGCATCAGTTCTCTGAGTCAGGACCAAGCATAACCAGGATGGTGGTTTCCTTTGGAGGGAAAGGCATTGGGGAGCAATCACCAAGCACTGCTGGGGAGGAGCAGCTCGGGTGGAAGGTCTGTCTCCCAGGCATTACAAAGTCCCAAGGACAAAGCAGACGAGCTGAGCGCTGTCTGGTGATGCAGGGATGGTCAGTGCTGCACGCAGGCGTCCTGTGGGTTGTGTTCTAACAGTGTGCATTTGTGCTTGGGACTTGTCATTCCTAGCTGGGAGAGAGATGCTGTGGGCCCTGCCCAGAGGGCTGGCAGTGCTGTGGGTCCATGGTGAGCATTGCTTCCGTTGGGAAAGGCTGTCAGCTAGACTATTAGCCACTGCACCTCAGTAACCTCGTAATGCTGCGTTAATAATAGCAAAGTTCTGCTTTGATGGCACTGCCGTGTGCTTGCACGTGCCTGCAAAAATGCCCTCTTTCACTTTTGTAACGCTCTCGGTTGCGGTTACCTGCCTGCTCCTTGGGGAACTGCATCCTTGGGGTGCTTCTGTGTGTAGCTGCTCTGTGTGTCCCATCTGCCTGCTGCTGGCTGCTCTTTTTAGGTGCGAAACGTTTCTGAATGGTTGTTTTTTTTTCCTTTTCTGAAGTCAGCTCGACTCTTTAAGATGCATTTGAGAAGAGAACAAACAGAACAACTCAGTAGACAGGCTGCTGTGTGGGGTGCTTTGGTTTCAAGTTGGCCATTAAAATGAATTTGTGTTGACTTCAATCACTGTTGATGCAGTATTGGGCGCTGCAGATGTCAGGATGGTTTTCAGTATCAGCTGAAGCATAAAATTCTGCTTCCCTTGGGAGCAGCAGTGCTGCAGGCACACACTTGTACCCAGGCGTTTCCTAGGAGCGAGCAGAGCTGCTTCACATCTGTTGAGCAGAACAGGAGCCATGAAACGTTTGGGTTTGCAGTGCTGGGGCTGTGACACCGCTGTGCTTCACATCCATGGCAGAGCTGCTGTGCACAGAGCTGCACACAGAGCATCGCTTCTGGCTGAATTAAAGGCAGCAGTTCCTTTTTGTTCAGCAGCTTTGTTTTGGAGCAGCACTCAGTGCTGCTGCTGTAGTGTTTAAGCTTTGCAGTGGTTTGTTCCTGATTTCTTACTGCTGTTAGGCTGGGGTTTAGAAAGCATTTTGTCAGCCTGGGTTCTGAGCCCGCTTTCTGCAGCGGCCATTTCTATCTTTTAGACTAAAAAGGGCCAAAAATCTTGTTCCATCAGCTTGTTTGCAGCAATGCTCTCCATCTCTTCCCCTGCCTATGAACCAGATTATTTTCTATCTGTGCTTAGCCAGTGCTGAAGCTGTTGAGACGTGCACATTCCTATCTCCTCCTTCTCTATGTTACAGATGTGATCAGAAGCAATGGAAGGGCAGAGCTGTGTCTGAGGGTTCCTGCTGGGTGCAGATCCCTGCTGAGGTGGGCTGTAGCACATGAGGGTTAACTGCAGTAGCAGTGTCTGTGTGCTGCAGGTGTGATGCAGTTCAGCTGGGTGCTTTAACACGAGCCAGTTGCTGAAGGTGTAGATACTGAAGAGGCAAACTTGTTGAAAATGGCATCATTCCTCCTGGCAAGGTTTATAATCAGTGCTACTCATAGTAAATGGTGCTGTGCTGGGGTTGATCCGAAGTTGAAATGACTCAGCTGTGTGTTTTATGAAGAGGAGAGGAGGTGGTGACTGTGCTGTCAAACCAGTAGTAAAAAGCTGGGAAGGCAGGAGGGAGAGTTGACTGTGCTGAAAAGCTCCAATGCTGCTGGAGCCATCTGAACTTGTCCCTTTGCACCCACAGTTTACTCCAGCACCCACCAGTAACTACTGCAAGAACTAAGAGATGAGGAGAGAGGTTTTTTCCTGTCTGTTGGTAAGCAGGAGTGCCTGCTCACCTCCACAGCCGTGCTGAGCAGCAGCAGCAGTGCCTGCGACAGCCGTGCCGTTCGATCCCATCTTCTGTGTGCTCTGAATCCCAAAGCAGCCTTTCCTGGTTCAAAACAGAGATTCAGGAGGTAGGTGATGTTCCAAACAGCAGAGCCGTGGGTTCTGTGAGCAGTGTGTGGCCCCTTTACAAAGCACAGACGCTCCAATGATTTCTGGCTGCAGTTCTTTGGGCGGTTGGTACAGCAGCTGCTGAAGGAGCTCCCATGTTAGCTTTGGTGTCCTGGGCTGCTTGGGTCAGACTTGAACTCGTTGAGAGCAAGCATGTGCCTTTTTCTGATCCGAGACAGAAGCTGGAGGAGCTGGCAGTCTGTGCTGCTTGACAGTGGGGTCAGTGTTCTTGAGCTGCTTGAGGCTTGGTCAGGACGGAGTCGGTTTGGTGTTGAGTTGCTTAAAGGGAGCCCTGAATTATTTGTGAATGTAGCTACCCAGAGAGAAGAAGCTTTAAAGTAAATGGTTTCTGGAGAGTAATGTCATCAAACAAACAGATTTGGTGGTAGAGCTAGTTTTCTTTTAAATGAAATTGAACACTGATATGTTTCTCCATAGAGAGCCATTAATTCTGCCTTTATCTGAATGTTGCCTGTCCCATAACGTCTCTGCTGTGCTCCTGCAGCTTCCCTGCTGACTGTAAGGACCTGAGGAACGTTGTTGGCAGAGGTTGGGAAGTGGGAACGTGGTGCTGAGGGCTGAACATCACTGGAGGTGGCTTTAAGGAGCGGCCTGCCAGCAGCTGAAGGTGCTGAGACTGGGATAGGATGTGAGGCAGCGGGGTGCTGAGGGGAGAAATGAGAATTGAGCCTCTCCTCTCACACCCAGCTGTGCAGCGAAGGCTGCTGGCTGCCTCAGGTGCTGGTTCAGGCTCCAGGCTGTGCGTGCGGATTGTCGGAGAATAACAAGAGCTTTTCGAGGTGTTTGCTGCACGTTGAGGTACTGCAGGGTTCCCAGCCAGCAGCTCTGGCATCGGCGCTGGCTGTGAGATGGGTTCCCTCCCTGATTTCAGGGAATTGATTTTTGCCTCAGCTTTCTGCCCTATCTGGAACACAGGATGCCGTGCGCTGCCTTACGAGAGCCCAGCTGTGTGTTGTGAGCATCAGCCCTGCTGTGAAGTGCTCCATTCCTGCTACAAACCCGTGCGCCTTCCTGCCAGTGGCTGTTTGCAGTCTGTCCATCCGATGCAGCCTGTGCCCTCAGCTTTATCTCAGCACCGCTGGCCCACGGAGCTCCTTGGGCTCGGTCCCCCTGTGTGCACTGCTGCTTTCTGTGAGCTTTTTTTGCAAATTAGGGATGAGTTGATTCAAATAAAAGGTTTCCTTTACATTGCTGAGAATCTCAGAGGTCTCTCAAACGCATTTAGCAGCTGAAAAATGAGTTCCTACCATAATAATCTCCAACAACACGGAGAAGTATGATTATCTTGAGATGATCTCACCTGAATCGTGGGTCCACAACCAATTTTGATACAGCTGTGCGAAAATTAGGCATTAAAATAGTTACTAATCATCTTTCATAGTGCTAACACTTGCAAATCTCTTGAGTGCATTCGGAAAGTTTATTTGGGTGTCTCACATGTCAGTGCTTGCTCTGCTGGCTGAGCAGTAGCAATGGAGCAGTGCTACAGCTGAGGAACCTTTGGTGTTTGGAGCACGCCAGCAGAGCAGTGCTTGTGTGCAGGGGAGAACGGAGTGCCCAGCAGAGCCGCTGCGTGAGGCTGAGATGAAATTTGGCTGCTGGCAATTTGCACACAGCTGCCTTCCTCGGGGCTCTGGTTGTGTGCATTGCAGCCTCCTGTGCCTGCAGCTTTCGGTTTCCTTCGGCTTCGATTTCTGCTCCTCAGCAGAGCGCTGCCTTTCCTGCCCTTGTCAGTGTTCAATCTGTTGAATCTCGCCTTGAGAAAACTCCACCTTGTTTTCCTGTAGGTAAACCTGCTTCTAGACAGCTGCGTTTCTGCTCTGTTCCACAGGCAATCCTGCGAAGCCTCAGCGCAGCATCAGCAGCTGCAGAATGGGTGCTCAGTGATCTCCCAGCTGTGAGCAGAGGCGCCGTGGGGCCTCGCCATGCAGCTCTCCTGTCCGTGCCGTTTCCTCCCTTGCTGTGAGCAGTTAGGCTTCCCCAGGTGTATGAAATTGGTGGAGAAATGGCACTGCTGCTTGTTTTTTTGGGGGGAGGGGGGAGAATTCATCTGTCAGAATGCACTGAGGCATCAGATCGTAGAGCAGGATGTTGTCATTGAGAGGCATCGCCTGAAGCTTTCATTGTGATTGGTGATGAGCCAGTTCTGGCTGTTGGAACATCTCTGGTGGCAGCGTTGCTGTGCAGGAGGCTGCGGGGAGCAGCGTTGTGCAAATACACCCTTTGCATATTTACCACCACCTGTTCAAATGACAAACAAAACTGTTGTGCTGTTTGGGATTCCTTCTCAGAATAAAGTTCTAATAAACGAAGCCGGTTGCGTTGCGATTCCCTCTGTGTGTCTCGCTCTTTCTCCTGCCTTAGCAGCTGCTCTGCTCTCAGCTCAGAGCTGGGCCCTTCCCACCGTGAAGCTCGGGGAGTTTCTCAGAGCAAAAGGGAATTAATCCAAGAGTAAAGCAGAGCTGTGACTCCAGGCACCGCACAGCTGTAGGCAGATGGCAGACGAGCCGGTTGGTCGAAGCCTTTCTTTTTTTACTTACCCATCTCAACCACGTGTGCCTATTTGCACTGCGGCCGTGCAGGGCCATGGACCCTTCGGTGAGTGTTGGAGGTGGATGCAGTGCTTTGTGCTCTTTCTCCCCTTCTAGACAAATTGTTCTTGCCAAAATTTTCTACCTGTTGCAGGAGTTGCTTTTCTTTCCAGCACAGCCCCACGTCAGCCTTCGCCGCCCCGTAGGCAGCTGTACAGTGCACACAGCAGTGCTCAGATCTCTGCAGGCTTTAATCCCATCGAGTTGGGTGTATTGTAAACCAACTGTATTAAAAAATAATAATATATATTTTTTTTTTAAACGCATATGCACTGTTTTATTGTTTTTATACTTCTCGAGCTGCTGCCTCCTTCCCCCCCCCCCCCCGCTGATGTTTGGGGGCTGCATCCACCCGCCTCCATTTGCTTTCCTGCCATGTAAAGGTCCTCAATCCGGCTTTCGTTGTCCATGCCGAGCTCCACGTGTGGGGCTGCGGGAGGCACCGCTCTGCACCAAACCCTCCTCTGCTGCTCTCGCTTCGGTTTTCACCCCTTGTAAAACATTACAAATGAGAAATTTCCTGTGTTTGTTGTTTTTTTTCCTTTTTCACGTCGCTTTGCTTCAGGTTGAAGTGTAACTCACTAAGAACTGCAATAAAAAAAGACGAAAGTTTTGCTGCAGCCCCCCTCGCTCTGTCAGCGGCGCGATGCCCGGTGCGGGGGGGGGGGGGGGGGGGGAGAGGAGGGAGAACGGCTGCGGGGCCGCTTAGCAACGGGACCGCGCGGGTGGCAACGGAACGGGGCGGCACGGAGTGCGGTGAGGGAGAGC